TGTTTACATTCCGATGGGTTCCGTACCAATGTTTATCCGTTAGACAGCGACACGGCGCTTACGCGCTTTATATTTTGTCTCTATGCAGTTAAAGCAGTACGATTGCTTTGAAAAAAAGTTCAGATCTTCCAAAATATGTCAAAATGAAGAAAATGTTTTTTTTGCAAAAAAAAAAATTAAAAAAAATTTTTTTTCAATTTTTTTTTGTATTTTTTTTTTCAAAAAATGTAATGTTTTGTCCAATTTATAGTTTCTCAAAAATCTTATTTTTTCGAAGTAAAATTTTTTCAAAAATGTTAATCGTTTTTAAAAAATATAATAATTTTTGGTACGGAAAGTTCCAGCAATTTGCCTTAAGGCACGATTTAATTGCCTTAAAACAGAATTCCACTTACAGCTAGTTTTGTTTTGCTTTGTACTGGTTTGTTTATTTATCTATGTAGGTTATATGTGATAGGTTAGGTTTGCTTATTACTTCTATAGTCTAGATGTCAAAGTTACACTCTACCTAGATTAATATATATTAATATATTTAGCCACAAGTGTACATAGCTTTTTAGAGTGTCTAGGTAGAGTTGCTCTAGCACCTCTCACCTACTCCTCTCCTAGAGTACGAAATTGCTCTCGGAAGAGAAAAACACTTTACACTGTAAAGTTTACAGTGTACAGACAACGATAGAGCTCTAGCTAGAGAGTCTACACTCTACCTAGATTTTTCTCCACAGTGTAAAGCCGCCTTAAGGGGGTTGTTCTTTTTTTTACAAAAAATGCAAGGTATTTGTTTTTGTTTTTCTCAAAATGTATTTATCATAGAGACATGCGGTTTTTTTTAAACAAAAATTACAAAATCATAGAATATTACGCAATTTTCTTCTTTTTTTTGCGCCGTCATTTTTTTACCAGGGGGCTTTTTCCAAAATCGGTCTTGCAAAATCGATCTCTTTTGCGGTGCCACAGATAAATCCGTTGCGCATCGCCCGAAACAAAAAAAAGAAACTACGTTGAAGAAGAAGTTTGAATCCAGTCCTCCTACCAAAATGAAAGAAAAAAAGCAAGAAGGAAAAAAATGGCAGCTATTTAAAAAAAAGTGTCAAAAAATGCCTTTTTTTTGGGACGAGAAAGTTCGCAATTTTTTTTGCGTAATGTTATCAAGTTGTTTGAGGTAGGGGGACTAGGTATTACATGAACAAATTAAAAAAAATCCGACTTGTAGTTTTTTTTTAATTTTTGGCACCGCATTGAAAAAAGTCAATTTGAGAAAAACGTATTTAAAGTTTTTAATATAATGTACTAAATACACCATTTAATTTAATGTACGAAATACACCATGGTGTTCAAAGATGCTGACACATTAAAAAGATGTGCATGAGGTATTATAATAAAAAAGAGGCAGCTGGCATACAATAGCTCGCGGACCGATAAAAAAACGCTTTCAGAGGTATAGAGATATATATATATCTATAACTTCGTCAAAAAAATAGATATTGAGATGATTTTTTTTTTAAATAATTCTAAGGTTTTTAGCTTTCAAAATATAAAAAAATCTCAAAACCGAAACAAAAAAAATAAAAAAAGAACAACCCCCTTAAATCGTTTATTACTACATTTCGGGAAGTTCATGCAGCTTGCTTTAAGGCAGAGGTTGGCAACTCGGACCCGCGGGTGCCACAGCGCCGCCGATCAACTTTGAATGCGCCCTCGGCTAATGTAAAAGTATGATAGCCATAGCGGTTTACATCCACGACTCCTGTTCTGGTCCTTTATTGCCCTGGCGTCAAAGAAGCACGTGGTCGATAGTGAAACATGAAACGCCGCTTGTTATCGCTTGCTAGATCTTATCTAAGAACGTGTGCTATTTTTGGGGATGGAATCCTAGACAATATTAGAATACCCCGTGTTCATAGTCCGCGCGAAATATTTTGTCACATGGTTCACCCCGGAGTCCAGTGACAGTGCTCTTAAAACTATCAGTAATTTCAAATTAATCATGAATGTAAAAGAATAAAAACATATTATTTTAACGATTAATGAAAACATCTATATTGTTTTGTTGATAATAAAGGGAAGTATATTTGTTTGTTGTGTAATAAGGGTGTTGCGACTCTAAAGAAAAGTAATATTGAACGACATTTTAAAACCGTCCATTCAATTTTGATAGTGACTATCAAATAAACTCTGAATTTAGAAGAAAAAAAAATCCTTAAAATTTTCAATGACTAAACAGCAAAGTTTTTTTTACTAAATCGCTGCAACAACATAAAGGAGCTACGATTGCAATATATAAAATAGCACATTTGCTAGCTAAAAATAAAAAACCATTTACAGATGACGAATAAGTAAAATAATCCATTAGAAGCGGCAGATTCACTTTACAAAGAATTTAAAAATAAAAAAAAAAATAGTTTGGGCTATAAACATGTTACAATTATCAGCACGAACTGAACGTCACCAGAAGAATTGAAGAATTGCGGAGAATTTGGAGGCAAAATTAGCAAATGAGGAAGCTCATCAGTTCAGGCTAATGGATTCTAGGATTGGGGCATAGATAAAAGAAGAGTATATGAACTGGGGAATCTGAATATATTTCCGATTATAACAAATAGATTAAAAAGACGGACACTCATAAGTTTCACACTAAATTATATGTATTTATAAATTATATTGTACACGTGTTTATAATTAGGTATTACTAAATCTATGTAATATATATGCTACTAATTAGTATCGATATTACATAGATTTAGTAATACCTTCTTACGAATACCTTCTTAAGAAAATAAAGTTATAAAAAATCTTTTAATTTTTTCAAAATTTTATACCGATACGCCGTCTCAAATTTAGTATTGCGCTTTTAAAGGCAATCAGGTTGCCGACCCCTGCCTTAAGGCAAAATGCCACTTACAACTAGTTTAAGTTTGATGCAGCAACAAAAAATTAAACAAACAAAAGAGTCTTTAGATCATTAATATCTTCATATCCATTATCATATTGTTTATTTAAGTTTTATACGCTTATTTATGAATGTTTAATTTTAGGTTAGATCTACACTGAAACGCTGATATCGATAATTATAAGTGTGAAGTCCAAAGTACCTTTCAAAATAAATTGTTTTGCAAATTCATTCTTATAAAGCCGATTGATTAATTCCAAAATTGTATATTTGATCAGTAAATGCATCTAGTTTAAACATTAAGCCAAAGATATCATTTGTCATACTGAAGAAAATTAACGTTCAAGTTATTTCAATTTATATTCTCGTACTTTCATTCAATGAAACTTCTAAATGCGATTTTCAATATATCTAGAACAATGCACTCAACAAGTAATAAAGTTTACTGCAACAGGTTAACTGGAAAGGTAGCAGTTGTAACTGCTTCCACTGATGGGTATTTATATAGACAATTTTCTTCCATAAATCATTTATATATATATATATATATATATATATATATATATATATATATATATAGGATAGGATTTGCAATAGCAAAGCGTTTAGGAGTTGAAGGAGCTAAAGTAGTAGTGAGTAGTCGCAAATCTAAAAATGTAGAATCGGCTGTATCTACTTTGTTAAAGGAAGGTCTTGATGCACATGGTGTAGTTTGTCATGTTTCAAAAGCAGAAGATAGAAAAGCACTTTACGATCAAGCAGTACAAAAATATGGGGGTATTGATATATTAGTTTCTAATGCTGCTGTTAATCCAACAGTCGGGCACGTATTGCAAGTAAGAGATGTTTATAAAATGATACCGTAATAAGAGGCTTGATTTGATGATCAGTTGGCACTTTTCCTCATTGTCTTTAAATAATTATTGGTGGTTATGAACATTAAGGTCATAAATTTTTAGTGTGATGAGCAATCTTGGGATAAAATATTTGATGTGAATGTAAAATCATCGTTCTTGCTAGCTAAAGAAGTCTTACCATATCTTCGAGAGAGAGGAGGTGGTAGCATTGTATTTGTATCTTCAATTGCTGGTCTTCAACCATTTCCAGTAAGACATTCAAACAAGATGAATCTAAGATAGCTTATTATAATCATTAAAAAACATATTATAGATTTTGGGTGCATATTCTGTGAGTAAAACTGCTCTGTTTGGTTTAACTAAAGCTGCTAGTCATGATCTTGCTTCAGAAAACATTCGTGTAAATTGTATTGCTCCTGGCATTGTAAAGACTAAATTTTCCAGTGCTGTAAGTATTTTTATATTTATTATTAAAAAAAAAGGTATTTGTGTAACACTACTTTCTTCAGTTACATGAGAGTGAAACTGCAAAAGAAGCAGCTTTGATGAATGTTCCTATGAGAAGGTATTTTTAAAATCTTTCAGAAAATTATATGATTTGGTAGAATGGATAATTCTATATATTAATTTTACAGACTCGCAGATCCATCAGAGATGTCTGGAGTAGTTGCTTTTCTGGTGTCAGACGATGCTAGTTATATTACAGGTGAAACATTAGTGGCTGCAGGTGGTATGCCATCACGACTTTAATTGGAATATTATAAATAATTTACTCTAATTTTGGATTTTATAAACTGCTTGGGTATATTGGATATATGAATTAACAATTCTAGCAATGTGAGAAAAACTGAATTCTCTCATGGTGGTAATACATAAATATAGCTACTCTATAATTGTATATAAGCTGCATCAGCTATTTTATAATTTTGTATAATAAACCATTTGGAAAAATGAGGCCTAGTTTTATATTTAATTGCAACTGAAACTAAATTGTTTTTTCTTATGGTTTATTCATTTTTTGTACGTTTTTCCATAATTAAACATGAAACAGCTCTCATTTAAATGTGTGCAGAGCTAATATTATGTATTCAGTAATTTATTAAGTCTTATGAAACTTAATAATCTAAATATTCTAAATATTTTTTTATCTTTAATACCTTAATATTCTAAATTAAATATTTGCAATATTTTTTTTAATAAGGTGAAATTTTATATAAAAAAAATAGAATTTAAGTTATTTTAAATAAATAAAATTATCCAACCATTGTTCGTTTTCTACCTCTTGCTCTTACTTCTTCATACTTTTCTAAAACACTAGCAGCAGCTGCTTTGTTGGAAGATTTTCTGTATGATTGTAGAATATTATTCCTCAGAATTTCACCAACATCACTATGAGTACTCAGTAATGCCCTTTCCAGAACATATAAATCTACTCCTTTATCTTCTGAAGATGTATCAATATGAGATAATCCAAAATCAATCAGTATTAAATTTGAATTTTTTAAAGAAATGTTATCAGACCAGTCTTTCAATTCTGGATTACTTGGCACAAGAAGAATATTAGAGCTCGTAAGATCACCATGAATGATATTTGCTATATGGAGTTTTGCAACCAATGCACCAATTTGATTTCCTAAAACATAGCACAAAAATGTGGGACGATTTAAATTTAAATTGTAATTACTCAATATAACGCACTAAGAAAGCAAATTTAATGGCAAGTTTGATGCTTAAATTATAAGATGCTTCACTGAAACTTTGTTTTTTAGATTCAGACTTTGTTTGAAAGATTCAGAGTTTGTAAATTAATAAATTATTTGGCGAAATTGGAATAGTGTTGGGAAAAAATATACGAGAGCATACTTTTAGAAGACATAAACTAACCAACTAGCATCTTAGTACAGAAAATAATGGAGATAATGATAAAAAGAGTTAAGTATTATGATTAATACGAAGTTGTTAAATATATTGAAGCAATTATTACCTAGTGCTTGCAGTTCTTGTGCATTATCCTTACAATATTTAGATATATATTCTTTCAATGTGATATTTTTTTCGAAATATTGCATTATAATAATGCGTCTTTCAAAATCGACCATGTAAATAGCAGGTGTTCTAATTCCAGCTGATTTCGATCGAACAATTAATTTTGCTTCAGATTTCATTCTTTCCTTAGTTAAAATATCGTCTAAATCTGGATGTCTGTAAGATTTTTTAAACCTTTCCTTGACTAATACATGTTTTCCTAAGTATATGCCATGATAAATTCTTCCTTCGGCTCCTTGTTTAATTAATTTGAAACTATCGTCCAACATATTATTAATAATCTGTTTCTGTAAAATAAATATACATTTATATTTTAGGTTATACAACCTTAACCTAAAAATGTTTTAAAAATGACAGAATCGAAATTCGAATACTGTCATCATAAATAAAGTTTTCGCGGGTAAGTTTAAAATGTAACGGAAAATCTATCTGCCGTAATTCAAATTTTATAGTTAACATAACGCACATGGTTATAACTATTTCATATTTATTGTTAATAATTAATATCATTAAAATCGTTTTTAACATTGTACGTGCATATATTTATTTCGTTTTCGAGTCCCAATTTGAGCCTTTTTCAGTGAGCAACTAAGAAGAAAAACAATGTTTAAAAAATTATAAAACAGTCAACAATAAATATTAACTGCAAAAAGGTAAACTAATCTTGAAGAAATCACAGAATACAAATAAATATATTAAAAAACTATCAGTGTCTTATAAATTTGATATATGTAATGTTCTATTATTTTTATACTATATATAATATATATAATGTAAAATATATTTTACAGTTGTGTACACTGGAGAAAGGGTCGAATTGGGACTCGAAACGTATGGAAGTTATCAAAAAAAAAATGAATATATTTTATTTTCAATTTTAATAACTCGATGTATAATAAATATTTAAAAATATATAGAACAATCAACAAAAAATATTAATTACAAATAAGATAAAAAGTTAAGGAAATTGCAGAAAACAGTTAGAAAAATTGTAAAACTGACAATGGATATATATATAATATTAATTTTATATTATATTTTGAAGTTGTCCAGTGAAAAAGGCCAATTTTAAATTAAATTTGGACTTAAAACTTGTTGAAGTTCATCAAAAAAATATTTTAAACATAATAATATGTTTCTTAACATAATACATAAACATATAAAAAGAACAATCAACCGATATTTTGCTGTTGTTCAGTACATAAGAATCAAATTTCTGACTTAAAATGTATGAAAGTTTATCAAAAAATGATTTAAAAGTTTAATTTTTAATAACTGGACTTATACTAAATATTTGAACATTTTTAGAACAATCAACAAAATATATTAATTACAATAAAATGAAAAGTTAAAGAAACTACAGAATACAATTAAAAAAATAATAAAACTATAAATGGATTAATTGAATTTATTATATTAATTTTGTATTTTGTAGTTGTCTGAAGAAGGAGAATCAAATTGGGTCTTAAAACTGATGGAAATTATAATACGTTAATATAAAATAAACATAATTTCGATATATTTTTAACAACTGAATAGATAATGAATATTTAAAAATTCATAGAATAATCGATAATATTAACTACAATAATATAAAATGTTAATATGTCAATCGGTAACATGAATTTACACAAAAATATTTCTATTAATTTTATATTAAATTTTGTTGTTGTTCACTGAAGATGAGTCAAATTGGCACTTAAAACTTATGTAATTTTATCAAATAAATGTTTCAATTATAATCAATTTCATTTACAACAACTGGCTGTATAATAAATATTTAAAAATTGATAAAACAATCAACAAAAATATTAATTACAATAATATAAAATGTTAATAATATGTCAATGGGTAACATCATGCTCTATACTTGTATTTATGGGTACATAAACGTAAGTTTATACAAAATGTTTCATATTAATTTTATATTTTGTAATTGCCACCGAAGAAAAGTCAAATTTAATATCAAATTAAATTCCTAAAACTTATGGAAGCTTATTAAAAAAAAGGTTTTAAGAATAATTTTTTTTTGTCTCTTTAATAACTGGATGGTTGCCTGAAAAAATACATTATTGTTGCTAATTATTTTTCACCGTGTAAAAAATTATATATATATATATATATATTATAATTTTTATAGTTTATCAGAAGTTTTTTGGAGCACATAGGTGCACGTCCGAGGTTGTCTTGTTATTTTAAAATTTCCCCTGCCAGAGCCACTACAATAAATCTGTTTAAAACTAATACGCTTTTCCCGAAAACACACCTAACTTCAGTCTTCTTGCATCAATAAATCACTACTAATGACAATAGTATCAGTGAGTTTTGTTTCAAAATATTGACTGTTTTCCAAATTATTTGAATTAAATTCAACATGTCAGCGCAAGATCAACTATCCAGTGATGAATTGATACTATATCATCACAGATATAGTTATTATTCTCAAAAGGTAAAATGTAATTGATAAAAATTATCTTTGCAATTGTTATTGAACGGGATTTCATCATGTGATTTGTGGTCGTCACATGTTGAGGTGCGTAGAATGTGGGTTACCGCTCATTAGATGATGGTCATTACATATAGAGTACTATATTTATATTTATATTTATATTTGTATTAATGCCGATACATAATTAGTTTTGTTTAAATAAAAAAATACAATAATATAAACAATCTTAAGCCTAATAATAAAACTATGTTATAAAATTGCTAATAATTTAATTAAATAATTAAATTTTATAATAACATTACGAATTGTTTAGGATGTCATAAGACATGAAATAGAGTTTTCAGGAAAAAATATGGCCAAATTCATTTTTATTAACTTCCCGAAGGAGAAGTTTATGTTTTTTATTTATTTTATTAACTTCCCGAAGGAGAAGTTTATGTTTTCATCAAAAAATCCGATTCGCTAATTTTATGTTTTCTCGACGTTTCAAGCCATTCTGAATCGAATGAGACCAAATTTGGAAAAAGTATGTGTGTGTGTGTGTGTGTGTGTGTATGTGAACTGATTTTTTGCCGTAAATCGACGTTTTCTCCAAAACGGATGGACCGATTTCAAAAATTTAAAAGCCACTCGATGTATCGCAATGAGGACTATCGTTTCTGAGTTTTATGCGGCGATCGGCCGGGCCGTTTCTTTGTAAATTGCAGAAAAGATAAAAAATTTTCGTCCACGTTTTAGCCCGCAGTTCTGAATCGATTTTTGAAAATTCAAAAACCGTTCGAAAGATGTTGGTTGAGAATCGTGCTGATTAGTTTTTGGTAAAGATCGGCCGGGCAGTTTTCTTGTAATAAAGTGTTAAAAAAAATTACGACGATTTTTATTACTTTTTTGACGGTAGATACCATAGTCTTCTAGATCATACTAAAATATTCTGGCACCTACGATAACTCGTTTAGCTTTAAAAATTTGTCAAAGTTTGCAAAAATTGGTTTTTTGGCATTTGTCAAAAATTTTTTGGCATTTGTCAAAAATTTTTTGGCATTTGTCAAAATTAGAACTTTCATCGACGTTTGCTCAAAAACGCCTGAACCGATTTCAGAAATTTAAAAGCCATTTGATGTATTTCGGTAAGGACTATCGTTTGTCAGTTTTGTGCGACGATCTGCCAAACCGTTTCTTTATAATTTGAAAAAAAGTGTTAAACTTTTCGTCCACATTTAAGCTCATCCTACCGAACCGATTTTGAAAAATCCAGAACTGTTCGAAAGATATTAGTTGGGAATGGTACTGATTAATTTTAGGTGAAAATCTACCGAGCCGTTTTCTTGTAATTAACTGTTTGAAAAAAAAAAAATTTAAGCCGATTGTCATGGAACTTTTTTTGGCGATATACATCATGGTCTTATAGAACTTACTGTAATATTACGGCCTTACGACAAATAGTCGTAAATAATAAAAAATTCATCAAACTTTGCTAAACTTATTATCGTTTTTTTAAAGTAGGATTGATTGATTGAAGTATATTATTTACATTTTTTTTGATTAAGTCGATTATTTACACATATCGGGAAGTTCATGTAACTTGCCTCAAGGCTAAATACCAAACCAACTAGTTTTATTTTATACGCCTATGAGATAAATGAGATTAATATAATATATTTAATTTATTTCGTGTAAACTTGATTTTTTAACTTAATTTACTTTTTTATCTACTATTTTCTTATTGTTTACACCTTTTTCAGATTAAAGGCACAGATGGTTCTTTTAACCCCACCCACTGAAAAGTTTCATAAAAGTCATATATAAGAAAACCGTTGAATCTAACTTAAAAATAACAATACATCTATAACACATTTAAATAACGTAGTCTTAAAAATTATATTAAGGTTTCGTAAACTAAATACATATATTATAAACAACAAATCTCACAACCAAAAAACTAACAACGAAAAAAAATATTTTTGTTACGGATTTTCAAAATTTGCCATTTATCTCGCGATATCAACGACGTAAGAACTGAGGTGATAGCTTATCATACATCTTTTCCCTCTACTTTCAAATAGTTTTATTAAAGATTTTTTAACTTTACTTGCTTTTGAGATATCGGTCGTGAAATTTTTATCCTGCGGACCTTTAAGCACCTTTATACAGTCGTCAGCTGTACAGCGTCATAATGTGAGAAACTATAGCAGATTATTCATCCATTTTGAAGTATATTTTTGATTACACGTTATTGAAAATCGAACACTTAAATAATAAATTAAAATAAATAAATTAAATAATATATATAAATAATACATATGAATTTATTTTCTAAAAATCCAAATTGTCATTAATGTTTATATTTTGTATGACTATATGATATTTGAGAATGTTAATTAAGACCAGGTATTGCCATATAAAGTTTCATTAGAATCATCAAAAAAAAGTTTTTTTACACGGCTGACCAAAACTAATCAGGTTTTGTCAAAAACTAATCAGGGCAATTTATAATAAATTTTTAAAATAGATGTATGGTTTTTGATTAAAATGTGGACGCTTTTCTGCTTATTTTGGAAAAAACGGCTTAGCCAATTCCCAATTGCACCAAATAACTAACCAACGCGAGTACTTATCAAGTTTCATAAAAATGCTTTAAAATTTTTGGAATCGGTTTGGCCATATTGGAGAAAAAGTCGACGAAAGGTTAAAAATCGCTTCATATACGCATACACATACTTTTTCCAAATTTGGTCTCAATCAATTCAGAATGACTGTAAACGTCAAAATACATAAAACTAGCAAATCGTATTTTTCGCGAAAACAAACAAA